TCTCTCAGCTGTAGCAGCCACAATGGCCTTCCAGGCCGTGTGGATAAGAAGGGGCAGACAGCCCGATGTGGTGGCACACACCTTTAATCTCAGCATTGAGGAGAAGGCAGAGGTAGGAAGATCTCTACAAGTTCAAGGCTAGCCTGGTCCACATAGTTCCAGGCCAGGCAGGGCTACAGAGTGAGGCTCTGTCTTAGAACAAAGTGAAGTACGACACAAGGGCTGAGCGCCAAGATCCTCAGAGGGAGCAGCAGTGCCAGAGAGGCCCTGGAGAGACAACTCTGGGAACTCAGAGCCACGACTGAACTGGCTGAGCCACAGCCACAGGCACCTAGCACTGTGACGAAAGGAAGGACAGACGAAAGAAAACAGGACCCTAGGTAGGTGGGGCTCTCCAAGCTCAAACATCTCCAACAGCATGGTGGAGAGTCCCCTCTGCCTGTCTGCCATCTACTCTCCCACCAGCTCTTACCAACTCTGCTTTCAAACAAGTTTCCAGATCAGTCACTACTAACAGGAAAGGAAGGTTGACTCGCTAACCCTGGGACTCAAGACCATGTCCACACATGTACACGCCCACAAAGTCTGGTGTGTCCCAAACCTATCCTTCCCCAGATAGATATGGACACACTATACTTTGTGGGATCCATGCCAAAGACACACAACTCAGTCCAATTGGGGAAAGTTCCAGGCTGCACAACTAATGTCAGTGTCATGAAAAACAAGGGTGAGCAGAGATAACTGTGGAGAGCAGGCACCAGACCTCAAGTGGCCCAGGCTGGCCTCAAACTCCTGATCCACTCCCGGTCTTGCCTCCATCTTCCCAGTGTTGGCTGGGTAGGCATTTGTCAGCATGCCTGGCCCTACCCACACCCCTGTACTACAAAGCTCTCTCCCACTGGCATGCATCTGAGGCTACTTATTTCACCCTTCTCACTCAGTATTTTGAGACAGGGTCTCAAAAGATGTTCTGGTTGTGAATGCACTCTATTCCTCAAGCTGGTCTTGAACTTTCAATTCCCCTGCCTCTGCCTCCTAGGTAGCTGGGATTATAGGCTTAGCTAGCTAACTTTTTTTAGTGCCAAGTAATACTGCAGATTAAAGGCTACCGAGCTGGTCTGTGGAAGTTGTCTCTTTGATGCATCCGCCCTCAGCCAGTGATCACCAAAGATCTAACAAAATATAACTCAGGAGGTGCGCACCAGGCCCCACCCTGCCTTAAGGAACTACTGCAGTTAATAGCTGCTGGAAGAAGGGAGACTTATTCTTCACTGAGAGGTGATGTCACAGTCAAGCTAGTATAACCCCTCACGCATGCACAGCCAACCAACTCAACAGATTTAAAAAAATAATAATAACAAGCCATCTTGTTCTTTGTTTTTGGAGACAGGGTTTCTCTGTGTAGCCCTGGCTGCCCTGGAACATTCTCTGTAGACCAGGCTGGCCTCAAACTCAAACATTTGCCTGCCTCTGCCTACTGAGTGCTGGGATTAAAGGTGCCTGTGCCACCACTGCCTGGCTATAAGAAGCCATCTTTAATTTCAGAACTCCAGAGGCAGGGAGGTCTTGATGAGTTCAGCATGGTCTACACAGCCAGTTCTACACCAGCCAGGGCAACCCTGTGAGACCCTGTCTCAAGGAAGGAAAAAATCATGAAGTAAGAGAGAGGGCTGTCTGGGAAGGGGAGTGGATCAGTGGGAGAGGGCAAGAAAGGTTAACGGAATATAAAACAGTGAAACTGCTGAAACCATACAAGAAAATGCATAGACTTACATGCCTACGAACCTGTGCGTGGCAGTCAGAGACAGGGGGTTCAGAAGTTTGAGGTCATCCTCTAGTACATAGCAAGACTGAGGCCAGCTGGGCTACATGAGAGCCAGTCACAAAAAATTAATAAACTCTACCTTGAAGCTGAGGTGTGATTCAGGGATAATCTTACCCAGTGCACACAAAGACCCTGTGTTCCATCTTCAAATCTTCAAGGCCAAACACACACACACACACACACACACACACACACACACACACATACACACACACATATACATGCACACACATACTCCCCTTCCAACTCCGTCTGTCTCTCACAACACACACTCACCATACACACAGTCATACACAGTCATCTCAGTCATCACACACACTCACAATACACCACAGACACATGCAAATGCACACGCATACTCAGGCATAGAATCAGATCCTCTACTTCTCAAGGATCAAAACCTTCTAATGAGCCCTGCCTACTCAGGGCAAAGCCAAGGTGTTTGCAGTGGTCAGGCCCTGCCCACCCAGGAGCTATCTTCCTATTGCCATTGGTACCCTCCATCAAACGTGCCAGATGCAGTAAGACCTCAGAACCCTTGCTCACACAGCTCCTTCCACCTGATTTCTTTACTTCCACAGCAGTTGTTGCTACCTAACAGGCTTTTGTCTTTTGTTTTTGAAACTGAGGCTTATGTTAGAGCCCAGGCCGGCTGAAAGTCACTAGGTAGTCCAGGCTGGCCTCAAACTTGAAGCACTCCTCCTGCCTCAGCGTTCCAAGTGCTGGAATGTGTCCCCATGCCTGACTAGACTTCCTGTTTTGTATTTTAGGTACTGATTCCGGTTGTTGCCTGTCTTGCCCCACAGGAATCCTTGAGACCTGATCTCTGCATCTTCACACTCCTCACAGTAAGGCGGCGTCTCACGGAGCATAAATGCACAGAAGGCATCCATACAGCGGGAGTGCAAGGCTACTGCAACCACCAAGGACTCGGTGCCCTGCAGGACGGGAGAGTACAGCCTGGAATGCAGCAGGAAAGCACTAACTGCTCCTGGTTCATGACTGCCTCTGTTCAGAACTGGAAACAGAGGCTCGGGTGGGTTACACTCACCTGCCAAAGTCATCATTTAAGGGGTAGGGTTGAGCTGTTTCCTAAACCACAAAGCTAAGACTAGTCCCAGGACTTGGAAGAAAAGCAGGAAGCTGAACAGGCCCATGAGTCCAGAGTCCACAGCTAGGCTCTGGCACAAGCCTCCATCACGATGAACTGACTGTAATGGAGTGTGATCTTGGAGAGTGATCAAATTCCTGCCTGTGACGGCTTACTTTTTTATTCTATAAATTTAAGCAGTCATCCCTGGTTTGTGTCCTGCAGATCTTGGAACTCACTTTATAAGTAAAAATAGCTCCTAACTTGCACTGAATCTCCTGCCTCTGCTTTCCAAGTGCTGAGATTTACAAACACATGAGACCAGTTTTTTTGTTTGTTTGTTCGTTTGGTTGGTCTGTTTTGTAGTCAGGGTTTCTCTGTGTAACAGCCCTAGCTGCCCTGTAACTCACTCTGTGGACCAGGCTGGCCTTGAACTCAGAAATCTGAGATCCACCTGCCTCTGCCTCTCAAATGCTGGGATTAAAGGCGTAGACCACCACTGCAGGTTGGTTTGCTTGTCTGTTTTGTTTTGGGTTTTTTTGTTGGTTTTTTTGTTTTGTTTTTGAGACAAGGTCTCCTGTAGCCCAGACTGAACTCAATAAGGTATCTTTTGTTTGTTTGTTTTTGTTTTTCAAGACAGGGTTTCTCTGTATAGCCCTTGCTGTACTGGAACTCACTCTGTAGGCCAGGCTGGCCTCGAACTCAGAAATCCGCCTGCCTCTGCCTCCCAAGTGCTGGGATTAAAGATGTGCGCCACCACTGCCCGGCTCAATAAGGTATCTTAAGGTAGGTTCCTACTGCCTCAACCGCCAAAACACTGCGCTGTGAGTCTACACCACCACGCCTGGCTTCAGAATCTAAAATGTTACCACTGCAAGACCTTTGGCCCAGGCAGAAGCTCCACCAAACACCAAGAGGACCAAGAATCTTATTAAACACGTATGAGGAGGTGAAAAGTGAAGGGTCCCCCTTAGTGTCCACCCTTGGAGCCAACAATGTCCCTTAGTGGTCTGGTGAGATTCTCCTCACCCTCCAGGTCTCAGCTGGAATTCTTCCTCTGCCAGGAAGTACTCTTTGTACTCCATGTCAGGTCACGTATCTAGTGGGCTCTGCCATCCCATCTAGATTGTCACTGTATGGGTCTTGGTTTGACAGAATGGTACTGGCATAGACCCTGTTGTTTCATAAGCAGGGTCAGCTCAAAACAGACACTCATCATACCAAAGCTACATGGGGCGTTGGATAAACATGAACGGTAGTTCTCAGCAAATTACAAAGACTTTCCCTTGGTCTCTGCTTCACGAAGATAGATCAGTCTTTCCTAGGAGCACATATCTGGTGCGTTTGCAAAGCAAGTGAGGTCTCTGCTCAGGAGATTACCTTAGCTCACCTGGCTGCTCTAAACTCCAGGCTGCCTACAGTCCCTGACAGTTCTGAGATAATGCTGACATATTAGGACCGTATCTCCCAGTGTCCAGCCAAGAAGCCTGCACGGTGCGGCTACGGAACGAATAGACTGCTATGAGGAAATTCATAAATAGACGGAAGGACGTCTATTCTGGGTTCATCCTTTTGCCAGGTCGCAAGATTCCATCACCATCACGACCCTAACTCAGTTTAAAACTAACGTACAAGCTCTGTGCTCTAAACCCAGGCTGATACGCAAAGCACCCACAAGCCGGAGGGAAAGTGAGGGACAAGCTGGCGTTTCTGTAGTTAAGCGTGTCTCTCTAAGGATGGCTCGGTAAGGGATCTCCAAGGGGACTTCTTCTCAGTCCCGCCCCTAACTTCTGACAATAAGCCCCACCCTAATGTTTCTCATATCTCATTCTATTGGCTGGCATAGACGTCAACCGCCACAAGCCCTCTTCCCTATTGGCTTGCATTCCAAACTCGCGCGGTGACGTCCCTGACTGCTCGCCCTTCTTCCCTATTGGGCGAGTGACACGCCCCTCTAGCAGAAGCCATCATCATTGGCTATAGCGTTTTGCCGGTTCGCGCCGGGATTGGTCAGGCACAGAAGCCATCCCCCTGAACTAGAAGGGTCTGGAATGGAAGGGCTAGGGGCCTTGGGGTGAGACTCACGCTGGGCTGGCGGCAGGCAGATGTAGGTCTTGAAGAACTCGCTGCGGCGGGCGGCATCCTTGATGCGGTTGGCCAGCGGCTTGCTAACCTGCCGGATGCCCAAGTAGAACAGCTTCGCCATGGGGAATGCGCCCACCACCATCTTGGCGGCCGCCCTGGGCACGCGCAACCTTGCTGACTGGGCGGGGCGCCGACGACCTCGCCGTTCCTCCCCCGCCCGCCGGTGGGCCGTGCGTGCTGCGTAAGGAGGGACTTGCCCACGTGCCTACGTACGAGCGTGCAGACGGGGGTGGTGGGGAGGGTGTTTGTCTGCGAGGTGGGGGGCGCTCGTGACGTCACCGCGTCGACGCCTCGACGTCCGTACGTTGGGTATGCAAATAGGCGGCGGAAGTGAAGCGTCAGAGGGCGGTGCCGTTCAACGGCCGCTCGTGGGAGCGTGGCCGGAGGCCTATTCCCGACGTACTGACGTCATCACGTCTTGCGTGATATCACGCACTGAGTCGGCTTCCCTGCCCATAGGAGGCGCCTGTTTAGTCCCAATTAAATCTAATAAGGCCGGAGGACGCCTTCCTCCGCGGTTAGCGCGCTCACCCGGGAGTGAGGCGAGTCAGCGCGTAGTCATACAGACCTGCCGCTGCTTTACTCACTCTCTCAAGTTGGAGGAGTGACTCAACCCTTCAGGAAATCGGTTCTTTTTTTTTTTTTTTAATTTTTTTTTTTTTTTTTTTTTTTTGAGACAGGGTTTCTCTGTGTAGCCCTGGCTGTCCTGGAACTCACTCTGTAGACCAGGCTGGCCTCGAACTCAGAAATCCACCTGCCTCTGCCTCCCAAGTGCTGGGATTAAAGGCGTGCGCCACCACCGCCCGGCTCTAATTGTTTTTAAAAGCCGGTCTCATGTAGCCCCGCCTGGCTCCGAACTCCCTGCGGAGCGTCGGCTGTCCTTAGACCTCCTCCTGATCCTCTTGTGTCTCTGCCGCAGGGCTGGGATCCCAGCCTGCACTGCAGGGCCCGCCATTGATATCAGTATCCCTGTGAGCAACATGTCACGCAGAACAGCACCTGCCTGTGTTTTCTGTGTTGTGAGGCTTTCTCTGAACCCCAAGGCATTTCCCGGGTTAGGACAGGCGATCCACCGATGAGCAGGACCCAGCGCCTCACTGGGGGATTTTAGGCAGTGACTCCCGCTGAGCCGCCGCCGCTCCAGACCCCTCTCGGAGTGGCTCTACTGCTCAGCTTTGTGTGTGAATCTCGAATGTAAGACACAGGAAGTGGCCACGTGTAGAGAATGTCTCAGAAACCCAAAGGTTCGCTACAGCTAATCCATCCGTTTCCCAAGTAACTGACGGAAAGACTGAGGCCCATAAGACCGGGCTGACACGGGGCTCCCCAACCATCACACTGGCTAATACCAGTGGTTCTCAAGCAGCCTCACTTCCTCCTTTGGAGGGTAAGGGTCCCCAGGGAGCTGGCTCAAGAAGGAACTTTAAGGACAAGTCCCAGACTGTCCTCCCTTACCCAGCAGGGAGCAGAATCATATAAACAAAGTCAGGACTTAGTTGAGAGAAATTCTTGGATGGTGGCGTGAGGATGGGTAGTTGGGGACAAGAAGGGACGGGAAGGCAAAGGAGCAGAGGGATGGTGGCTAGCAAGAGGAAACACTGGTGACACATAGGTCCCCTGGCTATGTCAGTGCCTTTGGTCAACTCCTCACACGGGGGGGGGGGGGGGGGGGCTGTGCTTCATTTATATTGGTGGCAGCTGGGCCTGGCGTCACCCGGCTGTCATCGAAGCACTCAGGAAGCTGAAGCAGGAGGATGGAATGTTCTAGGTCAGCCTGGACTACATAACGAATTCAAGGTCAGGCTGGGCAACTTAGTGAGTCCTGATCAAAATAAAATGACAAAAATAAAATAAGCTGTCCGTCAGAGGGGTTGGGTATAGCTGTATGCTGTGAAAGCCCTGGCCTAGCTTTTGCAAGACCCTGGGTTCGATGTCCACTGCTGGGAAGAAAACAGGGAGAGCCTGTGTGACCATGACAGCTAAATTATGAAGAATGACCAGAATCTTGAAAAAGCCATCTCTTCCAAGGACTGCTCCTGAAGATGTGTGTCTGGATGAGGTCCATCATCTCTTTGGACAGCATCTTCCCCTTTGATTTTTTGTTTGTTTGTTTTTTTTGTTTTGTTTTGTTTTTTGAGACAGGGTTTCTCTGTGTAGCCCTGGCTGTCCTGGAACTCAGTCTGTAGACCAAGCTAGCCTCAAACTCTCGAACTCAGAAATCCGCCTGCCTCTGCCTCCCAAGTGCTGGGATTAAAGGCATGTGCCACCACTGCCCAGCTTCTCCTTTGATTTTTAATTGTGTGCATATATGTGTACCTGTGTGTATGTGTGTGTGTGGGGGGGGGTATATGCACATGAGTAGTGCCCACAGGGGACAGAAGAGGACACTGGAGCTGGAATCACAGGTATTTGTGCGCCACTTGACGTGGTGCTGGGAACAGAACTCAGGTCCTCTGCACATGCTCTTAACCACCGAGCCATGTCTTCAGAGCCGCCACTTCCCATTCTACAGACTTCCCAATGGAGGGTGGAGATGACACTTCTTGAGTCCCAGTCCAGGGTCGTCTTCTAACCCCAATGGCCAAAGGACCTACTAAGGTGTCTAGGATCCCTGGGACGGCTTTAGGAAATCTCTAAAATCGAATGTAAATCTTCCTTTCTGGCTGTGTCTGTAGTTCTCACAACAGCTTCCAGCACACAGTAGGTATTCAGTTCATTTTGTTTTGTCTTGCTTTGTTGCAAAGACAGAGTCTTTCTATGCAACCCAGTCCAGCCTCAAACTTAACGATCCTCTTGGACTGACCTTGAGGGTCCTGGGATATAGGCCTGCACCACCACACAGAGACGCCTCCGTCTCCTTCCCAAATCAGTGCTTTCTGAAGCCCCTCTACTCTCCCTTATCTGCAAACCCCCATCTTCACTAAGTGCTTTGTGTCTCCCATTCCTCTCCTCAAGCCTCCTCTTCAGTTCTCTGAGAAGGGTTCCATGGGAGAGAGAATCTGTGTGTGTGTGTGTGTGTGTGTGTGTGTGTGTGTGAGAGAGAGAGAGAGAGAGAGGGAGACTCTCTGTGTGTGTGGGGGGTGTGTGTGTGTGTGTGTGTGTGAAATCTTCCTGCCTCAGTGGCCTGGGATGAGTGTGTGTGTGTGTGTGTGTGTGTGTGTGAGAGAGAGAGAGAGAGAAAGAGAGAGAGAGAGAGAGAGATCGATCCCATCTCAGGGGCCTGGCCGTTTCTACTAGAGGCATCTGCCATTTCTTGACTCTCAGGGTGGAGCAGGCTCGTCAGAACTAAGCACTTCCGTTCCCCTCCTATTTGGTGAAGGAGCCACCACAGCATCTGGATGACCCATTAAGACACAAAGAGGAAGGGATACCATCAGCTAAGTCAGACAGCCCTGGCCACCCTGGGCGTGGGAATAGACACAGCTATGGGAGGAAGCGGGAGCCCAGGGCGGCCCCAGCACTGACTCACCCACCATAAGACCTTCCCCCCTTTGCCTGCAGCCTCTTCAGTGACCATCCTGGACCAGGGACTGGGCTGGTTCCCAGAGGCCCTTTCCGCTCAGGCCCCTTGGGCACCCTTTTCCCAGAATGGGCCAGGGGTTCAAGTTACACCATCCCTTGGGCCCTATGTTTCTTCCACTAAGTCTTCCTTCAAAATAGATCCCCAAAACTGGACCCACTGGCATGGTGGCATGCCTTTAATCCCAGTACTCAAGAGGCAGAGGAAAAGGGGATTTCTGAGTTCTAGGCCAGTCGAGTCTACAGAGCAAGATCTAGGCCAGCCAGGGTTACTCAGTGAGACCTGTCTCAAAAAAATCAACCTGGTCCTGGTGGTAGAAGCCCATCATCCCAGCTATTCAAGAAACTGAGACAGGATGATCGATTGCAAGTTAAAGACCCGCATGAACTACAAAGAGTTCCAAACCAGCCTTGGCAACTAACCGAGACTAAGAGGGGATGAAGGGATGGGTGTGAAGACAGGCCCCAGAATTAGCTTCTAGTGCAAGAACAACTGAGGGGCAGAGGACGGGCCAGCAAGATGGCTGAACAGGTCAAGGTCCCCAAGCCTGGGGACCTGAGTGACTGGAGAGAACTGACTCCCTAAGCTGTCCACTGACCACCACAGTACTGATGTGGCAGAGCCCCCACCCCACAATAAGCAAACAAATATAATTTTAAAAAGAGTTATCCCTGGTCAGTGGTGGTGCATGCCCTTAATTGCAACACTAAGGAGGGAGGCAGAGGCTGATGGATCTCTGCATTCAAGGCCAGCCTGGTCTATACAGTGAGTTCCAGGACAGCCTGGACTACACAGAGAAACCCTGTCTCGGAAAACCAAAACCAAAAACACTAAATTTAAAAGGAGTGGGAGAGTTGTCTTGCTATGTTTACTTTTTACTGTTAGTCATACTTCCCTGACAGCAGTATCTGGTCTTCACAGGCCAGCATGATCTCTGAGGCAAGACATGGATGGACAGGTGCGTGGATGGACGCTCTTGTCCTGGGTCTCCTTTCTAATCCAGCCCTGCTTACAACTTCTCCAGGCAGTTTGCCTAGATTGACTTTTTGTTTGTTTGTTTGTTTTTCCGAGAGGGTTTCTCTGTGTAGTCCAGACTGTCCTGGAACTCACTCTGTAGACCAGGCTGGCCTCGAACTCAGAAATCCATCTCCCTCTGCCTCCCAAGTGCTGGAATGAAAGGCGTGCGCCACCACTGCCAGCTCTTATCTGCTTTTGACAGTCCCTGTCCTCCTTCACCATCTCAGACTGAGAGAATGCTGTTTGTGTAGGGTCTTAGAATATCTCTGCTTAACATAGCAGTTAACAGCTGTAAGCCTAGTACTTGGGAAGCTGAGGCAGGAAGACCATAACCTCAAAGCTAGATTCTGATAAATAGCTACACTCTTTTTCCAACATAAAAACAAGAAAAAATTATCAGCATGCTAGGTATTATCATGGATTCTAAACTGGAGCTCTACCACTGAGCCACGCCCCCAGCCCCTCACTGGGGGATTCTAGGCAGGGGCTCTACCACTGAGCCACGCCCCCAGCCCCTCACTGGGGGATTCTAGGCAGGGGCTCTAGCACTGAGCCACGCCCCCAGCC